GAAGGGAGAGGGAAAGAGAGAGAAACATCTATGTGAGAGCAAAACATGGATTGGCTGAATCCTGCATGCCCCCTACCCGGGAAGGAGCCTGCAACCCCGGCCTGTGCCTTGACCAGGAATTGAACTGGCAGCCTTTTGGTGCTTGGGAAGGTGCACAACCAACTGAGCCACACCCACCGGGGCCAGCCCTGCACTTTCCATGGGAGGGGATGGAGACCATGACAAGATGTCCTTCTCCTCACAGCTTCCATTTCCATGGAAAGGGATGGGGAGCAAGAGCATCAGGAGCTGGGGGAGGAGATAAGACTAGAATGCTGAGCACTGAGTGAGCACCGATGGGGGTGGGGAAAGGGTGGACAGTCCTTTAGGGTGAATCCATCAGAAAAGAGGGCTGGGTAGGCAGTGGGGTGGTACCTGACCAAACCCTGTGGGCTTCTGGGAACATTCTGGAGCAAGGAGGCTGGTGTAGACATCAAGGGGTCCCAGGTGCTTGGGACTGACACAGTGATCCTCCAGGAACTACAGAGTAAGTTCCTTCCCCCAAAGGGGATGCTTATTTTGTGGAACCCAAAGACCCCAGAAGAAGTTACCTTCCAGAAACCATGACAGCAAAGAACAGGTGCCCCCTCCCACTTCATGACCTGCCCAGCCAGGAGGTGTGGGGGGGTGGCAGCCTTGGGCCAACTTTGATGCGTCCCCACCTCTAAGGCTGCCCCATGAACCACCCCCTGCCACCTGGCTCCTGGCCTCCCCCTAACCGTCCCCTCCCCACAGCCATGTTGTCCCTCAGAACTGCCAGGTCAGGGAAACCCAGAGGGAAGCAGGCGAGTCCAGGTGGCCTAAGAGACAACAAGGCTGAGTCAGACAGAACTCGCCCCAACCCCTCCATGAGCCTCACCCCACTCCTGCCTGGACCCCTCCCTCTGAACCCGACACAGATGGGCCTGGGTGCCTGTTGCTCCTTGAGTCAATTATTAAGCAGAGACAGGGTTGAATTTTATGAACGTTTATTAGGATGGATTGCCAACTGCTCTGGGACCAGGTTGTTATCTTTCCAAGATGACAGGAAACTCTCAGAAAAGGAGCCTGGACTGCATTCTGAGGTTAATCCCCATGTCCCTGGGTGTACAACTCTCAGCCAGGTTAGAATGTGCTTTCCCTAATAGGAAGAGAACAGTCACAGTTAACAGACAGGGTTAATAGGATAACACAGCTGGTCCCCACTGTTGTATTTCTGCCCCACAGCTCCTCACTGAGGTTCCTCTCTCTCCAGCCCCCAGCCCCCTCCCCGCAGGCAGGCCACCACCCCAGCCCCTGACTGTCCCTAACTCCTCCCATCCCTCTCCAGCCCCCTCCTCACCTGCAGGCTTCCTGGGACCTCAGACCAGCAGAGCCAGGAGGCTCAGGGACAGGAGCACGGTGGCCACAGAGAGATGGAGGGTGATCCCAGAGTTGGGAGGGTCCTTGGCAGAGACCAAGGCCTCATTCTCTTTTCTGAGGAGGAGATGGGGACAACTCAGGAGGCTGCCAGGTCTGGCTGCCCTGGTGCTGGGCTCGAAGCCCCTCAAAATCTCTTCTCCTTCCCCACCAGTGTTAGGTCGGAGAGAGCCCAGGATCGGATACATGCAGACATGTGACGAGATAATGGACCCCCCCCTGGCATTTCTAACAGATCAGCGTGCCAGACACAGATACTGGCTTCTCCACGACCCCCACACAGATACTGACTCCTTCCTGAATACCTTGCTGACCCTCCTGCAGCTGAAACTTCCTCAGCTGAATACCTCAGCTCATGTCCCCGCCCCACACCCAACCGCAGTATAAAAAAAGCGCCCCCCTCCCTGTTGGCGTGAATCCATGTGCCCTGTTTTTGGGGGTACGTGGGTCTCCCGGGGACGCAGAATAAACTTTCCTTCCTTCCTTCCATTTCTGATCAACTCTCTTTATTTCCTTCGCCGCCTCCCGAGCCACCTAACCTAACAACCAGGTCACTGGGCAGGGGAGTGGCCTGGGGTGGGTGGGTGTCCTGACCTTAGTTTCTCCAGCTCTGCGGATTTGTCCTGCAGCTCCGCGGATTTGTCCTGCAGCGACTGATTCAATGTCTTGATCTCCTCTAAGGAGGGACAGAGAGTGTGTGGGCACCGTAGCCACGCCCCTCAAAAGGCCCAACCCCGGGACAGGACCCCGCTTCTAGCCCACCTTCATTGAGCCAGTGCACCTTGGAAGTCTGGCATGCCCGCCCCTTCCTCCCTTCTTACTTCCACTGGGTTTGGTCCTGTCCCTCTCGCTCCCCGGACCCCAATCCTGAGGCCCTCCCCCTCCCTCCTC